AGAGAGGAGAAATATGAGTACTTGGTACATATTTGTCTTAATAAACTCATGCAAAAACTTTGAGAATCAGATTTTTTAGTCAATCATTAAGAGTAATTTGGACAAATATGTACTGCCTACCTCCTATATAACCTATGAGTCGTTGAACCAACACAACTAGACTTAAGGAAATGACCAATTATCTTATTTGGAGTAGGAATGAATCAGCTAGCTAGACGGCTGAATTCGGCTGAAAACTCCTTTTTAGCTAATGATAAAGAGATAACTTTTAAAGATTCTTTCATTCATGCGTCTGATAAATTAAATTTGAGGATAACACCGAGCTTTAATATAATTAACGTCTTATGTTCAAGATTTTTATTAAGATTTAGAATTTGGATTTGATTATTGATGGTCTCAACATTTCTTGTTTCTAAGAAAAATTATCCCCACAAAACAACACGAATTCTTCTAACGTAATTTGTACCTACAAATCAATACTTTGTGCTTTGGAACAAGTGTTTAAACTATGTGACATTTTTCAAGGACCAAGAAGAAGAGACTAGAAGAGTATGAGAGAAGGCTGCTAAACATCAAGCCAAGGGAGCTGTGATGGTTGCGTTGAGAGGCTACATTTAGAGCATTGGGCAGAGGATGTGAAATTTTCCTTTTTTAGCATTCACACTCCCGACACTGGTCATCATATTTTGGACACGTTTGCCATTATAATTCTATTAAGAGTTTAGAACTTGTATTTTATGTAATTGAAGTTTGGTTGCACAAATAATTGCTCATAAACTGAACTCATGCATAGTTAACATCACAATATTCAACTAGTTTACTGTCTTCGCTTCTTATGTACAAAAAAATCGTAGTCGATTGTATTTTTAATATATTTCAAGATCCATTGAGCCACATCGAAATGATGAGTCATTCTTCACATTTATCTACCATAATTTCCAATTTTTACTTGCAGCAAGGGCTAACGGTACCGGTATAGTTGTGATTTTTGCCACTAGACTAAAGATTTGATCAAAGTCTAATTCATATGGTTGAGAGAACTCTCGAGCTACATGTTGAGTCTTGTAGCTATCGATTGATCCATCCATGCAACACTTTATTTTGTAAACCCACTTGCCATAGATAAGTTTAACATCTCCTAGTCTTGGCACTAGTTTCCAGGTTTCATGCGAGATCCCACGTTGCTTAGGAAAGAGTCTTTATAAGAACGTGAAAACGTATCTTGAAAGAAAAAGCTGAAAGAAGACAATAACCTTACTTTTTTTTTTTTTTTTTTGTAACGAACCTATTTCAAACCTACAAACACGGGTATTTTAAATTTTGTAAAATACAAAACATGAAAAAGGGTTAAAAGAAGAATATAATAGGAAAAGACAGGGTGATGTATGAGTGGAGTGGATAGATGATGTACAATTCTGTGGCTCCAAGTGAGTGGTTGTGTATTGTGTTATGGTGTGAGGGTGAGGCCATAAACACAAGCAGGAAGTAGCCAGGCAGAGGGGCAAAGAGAGAGCATTAGCATTAGCATTAGCATTAGCATGTAGCAGTAGCGCCCATGTTCACATGCTTTTTCTTACGTACGCTTCTTCTGCACCCATCGCCTTCACAACACTTTTCAATTTGATGGATATAAGTGAAAACAGAAAGCTGAAGAAGAAACCAAAACTGATGTATTCACCATGTCTTGTCCCATCAACAACCTTCTCATCATTACCCATATATTCAAATATATAAATACATATTTTATCAATATTTTACTTTCCTTCAAAATCAAAATTTTTAAAAATCATTCGAATTAACCATTAGGTTGAGTTTGGTTCATTACTTAGTAATTATTTAGTAATGATTGTTTTGATCGAAAAAATTTATAATATAAAGCATTGTCTCATGAATTTAGGCAATAAAAGAGTGGTGGGAGGTGGGGGGATGGAGTGTGAAAGTGGGCAAAAAAGTTTGTTGTTTTGTGTTTTAGGGTTTGTGTGTCAAATAGGTATTGGAATAATTGGGCAGTGGGAGTCGACCTCTGGTTGGTTCATGAATTAACAAGACGACCAGAATATCAAATCCCTACCTATCTATATACTCTCACAGACCACCTGCAAACTCTATACCTCACTCAACACAAATAACAGACTTCTTTTATTCTTTCTATGAAAATATGATAATACTCTTGAATCTCTTGTAATACCTACTGGCTCCAGTCAACCCTTTGACTGATCTCGAGATTTTCTTATGATATCGTTATGTTACTTAATGAATGAAGACTATTTCAAGTTAAGCAAGTTTAATTTTGAAGTTCTTGTACTTAAGCTACTAAAAAAATGTATTTTGTTGGTATAGATTGACAATTTTAAATATTTTATTAGGTTAAGAATGAGAAACATCCGTGAGATTAAAAGTCCAAATCTAATCTTCATTATCTTAATATTCACGACGTTTAAATAGAATACAAACTACTATATATTCTGCAACTAACTTTATATCTTAAATTAAATTTCATAATACTTTAACATATCTTTAAGATTGATTTTAGTTTCAAATTTATAAACGTTTAAAACATAACATGGATGATAACAAAGTTGTGAANTTGGAAGAAATGTTTTTTTTTTTTTTTTTTTTTTTTTTTTTTTTTTGAGAAGCCATGTAGCAACGTTCAAGGTTGTGTTTTTTGGATATTTGATTGTTTCAAGACAGGGTTTTTGCGACCATGCAACCTAGGGTACATAGAAGTTTGCTTGTTCAGCTGTGTTTTGTTTTGAAGGGTTCAGAGTTGCAGCTGTGCGTAAGCTTCTTCTTCCAACTCCAATCCTCGTCTTCTTCTGCCTTTTCTTAGCACAGGAATTATGTGGGCAGTGGATAAACAGACTTATCACCAAATTCTTCATATTTCTTACCCTTTCATTACTATAATATGTCTTCTTACTTCTATAATTTTAATATACTCATAAAAGCATTCATGTGACATTCGGGTAAGTGAGTGTTATGAACTAAGTCTATATTTGAATGAGATTGATCTTGAAAATATGTTGTTATCTATACCAATAAGATGTATTTTTCATTTTAGTTGCTCAATCATAAGAACTTCAAACCTTACCATATTTTGCTTTGAGTAATTTCATAATAGGAACAACAAACCCAAGTGTACTTAGCTTTGAGTAATTCAACGATAGGCGATCTTTTATGAATTTTTCTAGAAAGCGTGTAATTGAAGACAAAATATCTTAAAAAGACTTGTGTTGGTTTGTGAGGTTAGTCCTCAAAAGTACTTCAAGATAAGTGAGTAGCGAGGTCATATGGTAGAGGATGCAGTGAATTGTCGGGGTCATTAGATGCCGAATTTGGATTCCAAATTCTAGAATGAATCTTGGCATGATGTGCTAACAATAATATTGGAATAAAACTTTTGTTAGTAAGACGTGGTTCGAGAATGAACCAAGACGGAAGCTTATGGGCATGTGATGTCTGACTAAAGGGGTATATGAATGAACCGAGACACATTCTTCAATGATACACGACAACGCCTAGCTTTAACAAGTGTTGCTGCAATAGATCTTTGTCTCTAACAGTTTCTCTTGCACAATATTTATAACTTAATAGTAATGGACTTATATTCCTTATCCCTCACCCTTTTTCCCTTCATGCACCACGCTTTTTTCTGTTCATTCAAGACAACCCCTTTTTGTTTTCATGATCGATCACATCTTTTGTTCGTGGTATTTTATAAGTTGTGGGTAGCTCCAGTGAATTAGACATCGATCTTGCAAGACTTGTTTGTTCAATAGTTTGTATCTCTCAATTTTTCACTAAAGTCACTAATGCACTGTCCAAACCTACCGCTAACAAATATTGTCCTTTTTTTACTCACTTTCGAGCTTCTATTCAAGATTTTTAAAAAGTGTCTGCTATGGAGAGATCTCCACATTCTTATAAAAAAGTTTCGTTCGCATCTCCAACCATTGTGAGATCTCACAATTCACCCTCTTTTGGGGCCAGCATTCTCGCTGACACTCGTTCTCGTCTTCCATCGACATGGAATTTCACATCAACCGAAACTTAATAGATTAAAACAAGCAAGGACTCATTTGAAACTATACTCAAAAGTTTGTAAAAAATAATGAATTTCATAACTTTTTGTTGGGAAAATCAGAGAAGTTGCTGAATTATAGTTGTGTTCTAAAGTGGTGATTGGTGAGAGAGATGTGTTGATAATTCATTGATGAAACTAAAAGAAAGTAAGAAGTTCCCTTTCAGAGAAAGTTCTTAAAAACTACAAGTCCCCATGCTCCTCTTTCAGTATACCATTTGCTCATTTCTTTTCAAAATTTACGTGATTGAGAGGGTAAAAGATACACACACATAACACACAGTCATATCATACTTCTTGCTCGTCATGTCACATTCTATGTCTCTCTCTCTCTCTCTTTCTCTCTCTTTCCCTTCTTTATATAAACCCTAATTCCATATGGCCCATGGCATCCTCCTTCCCTCTTCTTGCATTTTTACATCACTTCATTCTTTCCCAATCTCATCCCTCCTCCCATGTCTGTCATTTCCTCTCCTCTTTTCTTTTCCTTTTTTGCTTCTCAGCTACTTCTCCCATGCTTCCCCTTTCTCATCAAACTCTTCAATAATGTTACAATATAATCATATTTGGGCGATATCTCATCTGAGCTTTTAACATCTTATGTTTATTTTATTAGTTTTTATATCATTAACCTCTTTTTTCTTGACCTTGCAGGACTTGTTGTATGTCACGTGTTGTGATTAGTAGTATAGTATTTTTTTTATCTTGTCCAATCTTCCTATCTTAACCAACTTTCTCTATTCCTCCTGAGCTGGCTCGACCCACGATTGTATAATGTATACTTTTAGTTTGATTCTTATATGTAATCGGTTTATTTCCATTCAAATTCAATAATATACTGTTATCTATCAAAGCAAAGCATGGCCTCAAATCCACTGTGGGCGGCTTAGACCATAAAAGACAAATATTCTTCATGTTCATACAAAATGAGGAAAATTTATACTTTTCTTTGAATATCTTTGAATTTTGAATTGGATATCTACAACCCATTTATGAGTATCACCAAAACTCAAGCATTCCCTTCTTTTACATGGAAGGGATTCAAAAGAATAATGTGAGAAAAATTTAACTTCAAACAAAATGTTTCCACCTTAAACAATTATCAGCAACCGCAACCATTCATTACATGATTCAGGGCAGAAAACCATGAACTCCTACCTTCAATATTGTTCCTTGTGTTTCTGTCAACATTGCTAGGAATCAAAGAGGAGCTACTTCTGTGAGGAGCTCCCATACAACGATTGGAGTTGAGTATCATTGAAGGAAACCTTTGACAGTTGAGGGGTCGACACGATGCTCCGGGCGGGGAAATTTGGGAACAAGTGAACTCAGGGTTGTATAATGGGGTGGTCAATGTGGGAGGTGGTTCAGGTACCTCACTAGAACAAGTGCAGAATGATAGAGACAAACTTGTTCTGGCTATCTCTTTGGCAATTGGCTTTGTTTTGGGAAGTTTAACAAAGGAAACTATGCCATTTCGGCAGAGCGGGCACGCGATTGAACCGGGTGGACCATGAGAACATGATGATGTGCAGTTTGTAGAACAGAGATATAGCGCACAGCTTGTGCAGAATTCATGCTCACAACCTTCAACGTTTGAAATAATGTGCTTAACTTAGAGAATTATATGGTGCAACTAACCATAGGACATATTAAATGAGGATAATTATCATAACTAAGTTACCTTGTGCAGCAACAGTGCATTCTCTCTCCAAACAGACAACACATGGATCTTGGCTTGCAAGTAACGAGTCACAACTTCTCCATCCACATTCTCTGAAAAAAAATCCAGAGGTTAATAGGTTAGTCATTGTACAACTTTCTTGTGAGATCCCACAATTGGGGAGAAGAACAAAACATTTTTTTACAAGTATAAGAGCGTGGATATCAGATGCATTTTAAAAATCTTGAGAGAAAGCTCAAAAGGGAAAGCCTAAAAAGAACAATATCTACTAGCAGTGGGTTTGAGCGCTACAAATGGTATTAGAGCTAGACACTTAGTGATGTCAACGAGGAGGTTGAGCCCCGAAAGGGGTGGACATGAGGCGGTGTGCCAGCAAGGATGCTAGGGCTTAAAGGGGTGGATTGGGGGGTCCCACATCAATTGAAGAAGGGAACAAGTGCCAGCAAGGACGCTAGGCCACAAAAGGGGGTGGATTTTGAGATCTCACATCGGTTGGAGAGGAGAACGAAAGATTCTTTACAAGGGTGTAGAAACTTCTCACAAGCATACGCGTTTTAAAAACCTTGAGGAGGAAGCCCGAAAGGGAAAGCTCAAATAAGACAATATCTGCTAGTGATGAACTTGAACCGTTACATTTCTAATGAATTAAAATCGATTGAAGAGGAAAAGAACAGTAAAAACACAGCTGATTGGATATATTGAAATCAGCTACATCCACAACTAAGCTAAGAACAAAACAAAGGCATGTCTATTATACCATATTTGTGCTATTTTAATAATTTTTGTCAAGAATGACTCACCTAGCAATTTTAACAATGCTCATAAGGGGAAGGGTCAAATATGGTGAAGGGACAAGATTTGTGGCTGCTTCTTCAGGTTCTTTGCTAAGAATTTCCTCGAGCCAGTCTCGGTGCCATGAACGAGCAACCATCAAGGGAGTCCATCTTCAATAAGATGAGAGTAACATTATATTACACTGCTACCCTGTCTTACTGTTGCTGAATAGAAATGAAATTACTTTTCGGGGTGTGCAAATCATAGACAAACTTAGTTAGCCTAGATTCTACCACCTAGCCAGAGATGGAAGCTCCGTTTATTCATCAGGAATAAGAATGATAAAGAATAGAAATGAATATCAACCACAAACTGATTGCTATTAAGATGCATAAGTCACGGTACGGGTCCACAGTTCTTAAAAGGATTCGATCTTCAGCGACGTCGAAAGTAACGAATTTGAACATAAATACTTGAGAGAAACATACCCATTTGCATTTTGAACAGTAAGACTGGCTCCCCTGGCTAGCAACATCTGGAACCAAAACATTCAGAAACCATGTTTATGGGTTGAATTGCGAAATCTTATCATTTCCTATGGTTTTTAAATCACGGACTTACTTGACAACATTGGGCACTCCCGCCGCATGCAGCGTAATGAAGGGCTGTGCTTCCAGCTCCTAAATATAACAACATAATCATCGTTAGGCAAATAACATCCAACTTAAGAAGAAACTTCAAGAATCAATCTTTTTCAGCTTCCAACAGATTAATTGTGAGATCTCACATCGGTTGGGGAGGAGAACGAAGCATTCATTACAAGAATGTAAAAACCTCTCCCTAGCAGATACATTTTAAAAACCTCAAGGGTAAGCCCAAAAGAGAAAAACCCAAAGAGAACATGCTAGTAATGGGTTTGGGCCATTACAAATGGTATAGAGTCAGACACCGAGCGATGTGCCAATGAGGAGGTTGAGCCCGAAATGGGGGTGGACACAAGGTGGTGAGCCATCAAGGACGTTGGGCCCCGAAGGGGATGGATTGTGAGATCCCACATCAGTTGGGGAGGAAAACGAAGCATTCATTATAAGGGTGTGGAAACTTTCCCCTAGCAGATAGCGTTTTAAAAACCTTGAGGGAAAGCTCAAAAGGAAGAAACCCAAAGATGACAATATCTGCTAGCGGTGTGCTTGGCCATTACACTAATCCTAGCTGACAAGCTCTGTTACGACCAGTGAACATGTTTAAGAGAAAATGATTGCCTTCGGAAAAGAACATGCCCGACTCCAAAATATGACATAAAATTCTACACGTAAGATGATAATTACTAATACTAACAAGAATCAATTAAATGGAATTCAAAATGCAATTTTGATGACAACTTGAGCATAATTTAATTGGTTAAAATATTATATTCAAGAAGAGTATAATTTAATTGGTTAAAATATTATATCGAGGAGGTCATAAAGAGGTTCGACAAACACATCATTGAACTAAAACATGTAACTTGATACAGCAAGGTACAGAGTAGACCAATTTTCATGATTGAGGACAGTACCAACATGCAATGAACGATCTCCGCATCAGTAGTCTAATAGAACACAGTTAAAACCAATGAACATGACATACTTCAACAACATTAGGCTTTTCAGTAATGAGAAACAAGAAAAGAAACTGTTCAATTCACTAAGAACTGCATAAGAGAAACAAAAAACAGGACGAAAATGCGACATACCTATTAGATCGATGGTGGTTCCATCTTCTACAGTAACCTGAGAAGCAGAGGCACCTAAGTCCAAAAGTAATTGCACACTGTCAACATGCCCGTTTAGCGCTGCCATATGCAGCGCTGTGATGCCTCCATCAGATGTTCTGTTAACCACCTCCTTGAGAACACTGATGGATGAGATGCAGGAAATGAATCAATGACTTGAGGAAGTAGAAAAGAGAAACTTATAACCGACTAGGATTAGATTTGAACGACGATACCTAAAATCGAACTTAGAAACTGGTTCTTCGTTGTTAGTCCAAAATTTTGGTGTACTGGGTACATAATCAGCAAGCAGAAGTCGGATGCACCGAGAATGACCATTCAGAGCAGCCAAGTGAAGAGCAGTACCTCCGTTCAAATAATCCGATCTGTGAATCTGATCTCCAATGAGATGCATGACAACATTATCCAACATGTCCCTTAAACTACTTCATAAAGAAATTAGAGGGAGGTAGCTCACATTGGCATTAAAAAGTATAAGGGTCTGAACAACCTCCCAGTGACCGTGCTGACAAGCTTGCATCAAGGCAGTCTGTTGATGAAAAATGACATTTTCAATTTTGAACTCTTCACAATAGTGCATACATAGTGAACTTGAGGTCAAATGTTCGAATTCTCGCCCTCACATGTTGTATAAACGAAACAATAGCTCAAACCTAACAAAGGATCTAGTCCTATCATAATTTTGGTATTCATTGATGGATAAAGCTAAACATCACATTGAGGAATGAACAAAATGGAGCTAAATGGAAACAGAGAGCAACAAACAACGCCATTTCTCGTACCTGACCCCGGTAATTCCGTAGATTTATCTCGACCCCAGATTCGAGCAGGAGAGAGACAATCTGCATAAACAGGTAGTGAAGTAAGTTGAGTCACCATCAGAAAGACATTATCGGTTGGGGAGTAGAACGAAACACCCTCTATAAGGGTGTGGAAACCTTTCCCTAGCAGACCCATTTTAAAAACCTTGAGGGAAAGTCGAAAGAGGACAATATCGGCTAGAGGTGAGCTTTAACCATTAAGAAGAAAAGTGAAATACCTCATGGTGGCCATGAGCTGCAGAGTAATGGAGAGGGGAATTTCGGACACCAAAAGTTGAATACCTCACCAGACGAGGATTGTATTCCAATAGAGCCTTAGCTTCTTGCAAGTCTCCATCTCTTGCAGCTGAGACTAAACGTTCCCCAGAAGCAGAACATCCAAAGGAATTCCCAACAATGCTTAGAAATTTCATTTCCCCACAAAGATTTCACTCAACCTACCTGATAATCTCATCTAAAGTTTTGTATGTTCAACAACAAACCCAAGGATTTACAAGCTAATCCATCCAATTCACAGCAAAACACAACCTAACTCCCACCAATCAATCAGGAATAATATATAAACAACCTTACATAATTCTCTAGAGTGAAGAGAAAAAGTAAAATACAACAGAGAATAACCCCAAAACTGCAATTTCTTCACCAACGAGACAGACCCAGTTTCGAATTCGATTCAAATGGACGAACCCCACTTCGAAATTCTTCAACAATAGCATTCAATCGGTAAAACCCAACTCAGATATGAATCAAATGATCGAAAACTTAAACACCCACTTACGATTATGGAATAATAAAGCCCCAAATGGTAGTGGTAACCTCCGATTCTTTTCTGCTTTATCCAAAAGTAATACAATCCCCGTAGAAATGGACGCAGAAAAGAATCGAAGGGACGAAAATCCGACAAGGGCGTTTAGAAATCGAATCGATCGGTGTTGAACCCCCCCACCCCCCTTGTCGGGATAAGATCAGTCCAAACGAAGAAAAGGGGGAAATGGGGTTGAAGAAGGAGTGACGGTTTGTGAAGATGGCGAAGAACGAAGGGAGAGTATTTTGACAGTTTTTTACAATACAAAAGAATTGAGGATTAGTTGATAAACTTGAAAAAGCATACAAGAACGGTGTTTGTGAAGGGAAGAACGTGTATAATGATTGGTAGTAATTAGAGAGAATATATTAGATGGTTGTTTTGTTCTTGTCTTCCATTTCTTCCCTACTCAATTCAATTTTTAGTTGAAAACAAAAAAAAGTTCGAACCTTTAATCGATAAAAGTTGAAAATTTCCTAATCTCCTTGTAAAAGTTTCTAGATGTATAGAGTATAGTGGGCCAATCTCTTTCTTTTTTTCTAAACTCATCTATTTATATTTGTAACTTTAAGATTGTATTAATTAAAATGGTAAAATTAATAACTCATAGATGGTATATATCTTGAAATACCTCCTTCAACCACATTGCAAAATCAATCTAAAATTAGACCTAGCCTTTCTGATTGTGTTTAATTATTAATCCAACAAAATCAATTGTGTGTCCTTTTGTAACATGAATGTGGTACATTTCACTCCATACTCATCACCGCAGTTCATACGTTGAAATATTTCTTTCAAAATGGACAACCATATTCATGTGAGATCCCACATTAGTTAGAGATGGAACGAAACATTTCTTGTAAGGGTCTCTCTCTAGTAGATACGTTTTAAAACCGTGAGTTTAACGGCTAACAGATTAAAACGAACAATATCATTTAGCGGTGGGCTTAAACTGTTATATTTTAGCTATCATTGGGTCCTTAGATACCCTATCAAACGTACGAGGGTCTCACCCGTTAAAATCTTTAAAAAAATGATACAAGCAATGTGAAGTTAATTATTGGAAAATGATACAACTAATAAACAACTATACATTTCATCAAATACACCAGAGAAATATAATATTGGAGAGTAAGAAGATAATGATAAGAAATTAGATTAAAGTATGGAAACATGTTTTTTTTTAAATGGCTTAATCCATGTATAGTGAACGTGCAAATCATTAAAATCCCTATTTTTTTATTCAAAAAAACTATCATTAATTTATTTTTCTTTTTTATTGTAAAAGATTTCGAGAAGTTAATCTTAAAGTTCATTTATAAATCTACAACCATTTAATTATCGTAAATAAACCTGAAACAGGTAAATTAACCGGCTTGAACCAGTTGAAAAGGCCATATAAACTGCCTTAAAGTAGGCTGAACCGCAGTTGGAATGATGGAACCGAGCCGATCAAGCAGTCAAGAGTTGACTGAAGCCGATCAAAGCTGACATGACGCACGAGCAGCTGGAAGCTGCATGCGTTGAACCGCGTCGAACTGAGCTGACTTGAGCTGGACCATACTGCACGTCTATTTGAGCCAATTGCATCGGGTGGGATTGGTGTTGAGGTGTGGATTGGGTTATACTCCCTAAGATTTGAAATTCGAATTGCTCTCATTCAAATGTGGTCTAAGTTCATTCATGTACTACTCCCGTCAATAATTTTTAATAAATTTATCTTTCAAACTCATTAAAAATGAGAAGTTTGAAAAATGAGAAATAGAATTGGGAAGGAAGGGTGTATTCTCATTCATATTCATAAACTTTAAATAGGATACAAAATAACAACTAATACCTACCGATAAAAAAAATATAAACTAATTAAATATTAAGAATAAGATAAAACATACTACAAATCAAATCATAAAAGAAACAATATTAAGATATACTCCATAATTAATATATTCTTCAAATATTATATCTCAACAAAACTACAATGTTAAATCAATTGTCAATGTCAAAGGAGGACCCAATAATTATCGGTTTGAACAGTTTTGGTATTTTCCATAAAAACAAATCAAGATTTTTTTTTTTTCTCTTTTGTAAAATAATATTAAAAATAGTTTTTGTTATTGTTTTTTGAAAATCTATGTTTTTACTTTCCTTTTTAATATCATTCTAATTTTAAAACCATAAATAAATTGAAGTGTTCATATGACTCAATAACTCAGCTTATTCTAACTATTCAACTCTAACAATAAAAATCATAAATGTGAGTTAGGTTAAATTTTAGAAAAATTAAAAATTCAGGTCAATGGCAGGTTGACATTTTTTTTTGTTAGGTCAACCTAACCATCCATAATTACAACCCAATTCAACTCCACCCTACTTTTAAGACTATCAGGAAGACTAAGAATATGATATAGTGTAACTTGTGAATGCTATAAGATTTTAGTTATTAATGTAACGTATATTATGAACGAATAAGATTTTTTTAAAATAATTAAAAATTAGAGAGCTAAGTTTGATTGATTGTGAACTATACTCTGATTGTTCCCATCTCCAACCAAAAATTTTGAATTGGTCCAAAAGTTTTATTTTAAAAAAAACAACCAATACAAAAAAAAACAATCAATTTCTCAACAACCTTAACAAAATTATGTGTTTTTTTATTTAGTATATAATATAACATAGAGAAAATGATGGAAGAGAGAATCCAAAGTAGACAAAACAAGTAAATGCAAGACAAACATCACCTCGTAAAAGATGAGAGGGAGAGAGAGTACACATCATTTTTGAATTTTGAATCTAATGGTCCATTTTAAGCCACATTTACCATTGAAGCTCCATATATTCTTTTTGCTTCCCTAATATAATTAGGTTTTGTTGGATAATTGTTTGAAGTAGAACATACGTTTACTAGATATCGAAAACATAACATATGAACGAAGTCATGACCCTGCATCAAACGTCATCAATCACCATGTGTCACGATCGTTCAAGGCATGTTGTTTGTGGTCGTGTGTCGAAAGTCCTAGTCTTATTTGTCTAGGGCATGTTGTCTATGATTGCATGCCCATTCCAAACTCTTTTATTTGCTTTTATGTGTAGGTAGGTCATTACTATTCTTATCATGTAATTACGGGAGTGTATGATTGTTCACCCAAATCATGTCTATGCCTACAAGTGCTAAAAAGCCCCAAAATGTACTATAGGGCATGTGACTAGCTGTCAATTCTTTTTATACTCGGTTCTATGCTATTAAAGTTGTGATTGTTGCTTATTCTCTTTTAGATTATAACATTACTTTCTTTTAAAAAAAAAAAAAAATCAATGCATTTCCTCACTCATGTTTTATAAAGTATTTTATCTTAAATGTGATTTGAGACTCGATCATGCGTCAAGATTGTTTGTAAAATTTAATTTTTGCATGACTAACTTGTTCATCGTTTATAACAAATACTGCACAATCATTGTTCTGCTTCTACAAGAGTGCAATTGTGACACCATGCATGTTCTTATTCTTACTTGAAAGAAAAATGTTACGGAAAAGACCAAGTAATATAAATTTTTCACTAAATGAACCCATTATTAGAGTTGGAAAATGCAACCACAGGCAACATGAATCATGGCATTCCTTCCTAGTAGTAAGACCTAAAACCTTGGTTGTGACCTCTAGTTCTTTCATGTTCTGGGTGTGTATCACTTCCATATATGCAGTCTTATGTGCACCTCTTTCGTACATCCATGAACCACCTGACTCATACCATTTTTTTTTAATTCCTTGGTCTCATTGGGAACACACTTCTTTCGTGGGAAAGCGGTATCAGTTTCATATGCACAGACACTAAACTAAATGTTAAATGAAGGTAGGGACCCTAGAAGAGTAACCGAAAAAAGAAAACACAAGTATTTCACACTTTCTTGAATCACGCACATACATGGAGTCCCACCATTTAGAAAAAAAACATCAATTTCAAAATATGATGCAACATTGTAAACATTTCTTTTCATGTAATTTAATCTACAATCACATTCACTTTTGGTTACAGTAAAGATCATTTATGAACGACTATCAAGAGACCGATAAATCGAAGTATAAACACAAAAAAAAGATATCCCATTCTTGGTCCAACGTATATTTCATAGAAGAATATGATAGAAGAAGGGAGGTTAAAATAAGGAAAAAGACATTGTTGTTTATCTTTTTGGAAGGTAAATAAAGAATTTCATTGATTTTCATACACAAATTTCTTCGTTGTATTTTAGTTCCTTAAAAGTCAACCAAAGTTCCCTTATTCTTTTATCCAAACCATTCTACTTATTACAATTTGTTTTTATATTATTAATTGCATGTTCGTGACAGAAGGTTGCCATGTTAAGTCAAAAAAAATGAATAATCTCAATTTGAATTAGAATCAAATTCATCTCGATCATATTAAACATCTGGTGCCATAGGAATTATACAAAAAGAAATTCAAAAGCTCGACATGCGAATGAGTTGAGTTTTTCTCAATCAAAATGAACAAAGATGGCTTCAAAATGATTGATCACGGAGTAAATATAAGTACCAAATTCATTAAAGATCGAGATAGTGTGAGATCTCACATCGGTTGGAGAAGGAAACGAAACATTTTTTATAAGGGTGTGGAAACCTCGACCCATTTTAAAAACATTGAGGAATAGCTTGAAAGAGAAATCCCAAAAACGAGACCATTTATAAACCTAGAATACATTAAAGTATGAAAATTAAAGTATTGAGAATATATATAATTCAAATCAAACGGTCTAATTAAGCAAGATTTGTTTATGATGTTAATTGATTTTCTTATAATTTTCTTTCTATGATTGATCTATTTGTTGTTATCTGTCAATCTGGCACCATTTATTTCCCCTCCTCTTCTTCAGCCTAATATTTTAATTTCATCTTCTTTCTCCAAATGGGTCTTTCAACCTTCTAAAGATTCATCAATGGCCGCTCTCTCTGAACCCATTTCTGCACTTCCTCCGCCGCCGCCACCGCCGGAGACCACATCGGACGGGGGTTTTCGTATAGACAAAGAAGTGAGTCCCACAATTCTCTTAGCCATAATCATCCTCGCCATAGTCTTCTTCTTCTCTAGCCTCCTCCATCTCCTTCTCCGATTATTTCTCAGGCCTCAAAACAGAACAGACCCGGAAGATATTGCCGTCGGCGACGGCGATACCTCCGCCTTCCAAGGCCAATTACGGCAGCTTTTCGATCTTCACGACGCTGGAGTGGACCAATCCTTCATCGACACCCTCCCTGTTTTTGTCTACAAAGCCATAATCGGTTTGAAATTAGACCCATTTGATTGCTCTGTTTGTCTCTGTGAATTTCAGCCAAACGATAAGCTCCGATTGTTGACCAAATGCAGCCATGCCTTTCATATGGACTGCATCGACACTTGGCTGTTGACACATTCCACTTGCCCTCTCTGCCGTGCAAGCTTGATTTCAGATTTCGCCGCCATTAATGGCGGATTCACGTCCCCACTTGTTGAGGTTCTTGAATCTGCAAGTAACAGCTCGAGAGAAATTGGGGACGTTCACACCGGTTCCTTTCTGGGTTTTCTTGGAAATTCCAATTTTGCTGAACTGAAACCAGAGGAACCTCCGGCAGAGGCGGCGGAGAAGGTGGTTCCGATTAAGTTGGGAAAATTCAAAAGCTTGGAGAGATATGGAGAAGGGAGTAGCAACAATGGCAATGTGGATTCAAGAAGATGTTTTTCAATGGGTTCATTTGGGTATGTAATGGACGAGAATTCGTCTCTGCAAGTTCCGATCAGGAAACGCGCGGCGAGGAAACAAGCGATAAAGAAGAAAAATCTGCCATTAACGCCGGGCACTCGAGCGGCGATGTCAGAATGCGATGGCGAATCGAGACGAGAGTTCAATTTCATGGAAACGAATCGGAGAGTCGAGAGTTTCCGCCATGGGAGCTCGAAGGAGAGCTTTGAAGCGAAGGTCGTCGGCGCCGGTGTCGGATTGCCGGTGACTGATTTAGCAAGAAGAGCATTTTCGTTTCATTTTCCGGCAAATTGGAACCGACCCAGATCGGAAAATTGGATGGGAACGATGGATGAAGAGAATCAAAGAAGAAATAGCTCGGAATTTATTGAGAATCAACCGTCGTTTGTGAGAAGAACATTACAGTGGCTGATGGGGAAGAACAACAATAGGATTGTTCATTCATGTTCTACACCCAACGATTATGATTCAAACTCATGATTTTCCATTTCTGTTGGTTGAATTTAGTTTTCTCCATTTTCTTGAGGAGTTTTGAGTGGAGAAATTAAATGTGTTCAGAATTGTTCATGGACGATGAATTTTTTAGTACCGAAAAGAACAAAAACATGACCATTTTTGGGCAATTTAGAAGCAAAATTCCATATATGTTGGGGAAGGGAGAGAATTTGGGGATATTTTGATAATTATTTCATAAATAAATTTTGGATTTTAAATTGTTTATGGAAATTGAAAGTTTGGTAACCTATATGAATGGAGAATCATAATTTTACCATAAAAGCAGCTACCTTATATTGATTGGATTATATTATTTTGAATAAATGAGATATAAGCTTTAAATTCTTAAGTTTGTTCCACTCAACTCAACATTTCAATACATTTCCATCTTTTTTAAGAGTTAGGTTGAGCTATGAGCACTGAAGAATTTTCATATTTGATTTTAAAGATTATCTAATTTTGTTGTTTATTTAAATTTAGAATTGAATGACCAAGATAAAAATATTTTTATGCTGAGGTAGATAAGGGTGTACACGGTTCCGTTACAAATTTTTCTTGTACTAATATTGTTATAAGTCAAATTGTAACTCTACTTTGGATTGGTCGGTTTGACCTGATAAAAAAAATGTCTAACCTATAGACCGAACCAAATTTTAAATATTTTAAAAATTCAACTCAACCCAAATCTAGTCTGAGTTTGGATTATCGGATAATGTGAACACCCTCAAATTATTTGAAATATTTTAGTTAAAGGAACGATTTTGAATGAGAATTTTGAATTGAGAGCAAAGGTGGTCCATTGGCAGAAGAACATAATATAAGAGGGGGAAGGGTAGCTGTTGCATTCAATTTAGTTTTGTGAGGTATTAATGTGGTGATGGTTAAAGTGACCATTTCAAAACAGTTGGAATCACCAATTTTAGATTTTATTAATCCCACCAAACTTTTCTACAACGCAATAAATATACAAAAACTCCCTTTTTCAAATTTTAGGTAATAGATATCTTAAATTTAAAAGTATTATCAAGTTTAAATCACGAAAAAGTCGACATATTGTAACTTGTAGGAGCATCGAGAAAATCTGATACATGTTGTTTATGATTGTTTATGAGGATGAGTTCGAATTTCATCAACAATCTAATACATGTTTGGTTTGTGTAAAATTGTACGAGGCCATAGTACTAAAAGAAATGATTGGGGTAGGGTATCATGTTTGTTGAATCGATCATCAGAAGAAGAATTAGGCTAAGGGAATGATAAGAATAATTTCAACATATTGTTTTTTCCACTCAATAACCATTGTTAATCAAACTACTACCTAAGTAGTTTTACAATGGTCTAGCATCGAGATGATTTAAGAAGTGGTATCTCTAGGCACCCGAGGGTCATTGTATATATCGATATTTTCTTTCATGCCCTCTTTTCAGCTTCTTCCTTTAGTGGTCAATTCTCTACCCCACAAAATCTCTCTCCACAGATAACGTGGTCATCTCCCTAATTCTATATAGAAAGACACAATAGAAAAGAAAAGTGTTAAAATTCTCTATTTATAATCAAATAAATTAGGAATATGGGAAGAATAATAGATGGATACAAGATATTTGCCTATAATAAAAGGGGAAATATGATAGGTATAGTAAACAATAATGTGGGCCTATAATATAAGATCAAATATGATATATATGGTAAACTATAATTCATGACTAAATATCCTTAAGATAGCTTTCAAAATTTGAGTTAAGAGACCGTCTTTTCTACTTTAAGATTTATGAAGTGTGTTTTGTAATCAGACCTTGTTAAAAAAGTAAATATTTCTTAATCCTAACTCATATCTATCCTTAAACAATGTGACACCCGAGTAAATGAGGGTTACATGAATAAACCGATGACCATGTCTAAATAATAGCAATCACGAGGATAAGATGGCTAAAAAAATGCTTAAAAGAATTGATGTTACTACCTATACCAACAAGGTGCACCTTCTTTTTTGGTGGCTCAATCATGGAAACTCCATTATTAAGCGTATTTTGCTTGGAGCAATTTCACGTTAAGTGACTTCTTGTGAATTTTCCTAAGATAAAAGTGAGTTAGGACAAAACATGTTAGAAGAACTTGTGTTTCCCTGTGGGGATAGTCTTCACTCTTAGAAGTGAGGAGTACATAATGTGATCATGCTGCAAGTAATGCAGAGAAATGTCGGGGTTATCAAGTGTCGAATTCATATTCCAAATCCTGATCCGAATCTTAGGTGTGGGTCATGACAATTTGGATTGTAAATCTTTATCCAAATCCAATCGATTCAATGAATTTTACGTTCCTTTTTAGAACTCCCCCCCAAAAATTTTCCATCAACGGTTTAAATCGTTTAAGTTCACCACAACAACCAAGAGGGAGCTTAAAGCAACTAAGAGAAGGCTGGAATTGTCTATGAGCATTGGCGATTATTGTGACATGGTTGGCTCAACACACATCATATGTTTGAGCGTGTCCATGGTGTCACGGCCTTCGCTGGGTCTTCCTATTTCGATTATGGTGACTTATTTTTTTATGATTTTGAAAGAAGTTTAAAGTAAGACCATAAATGTCTTTTACAAGATTCTTTGTTTCTAACTTAAGGTATTAATGTACCTCGATCAACAACGAAAAATGTCCATAAAGTTTTATTAAATAAGTGATAGGATGTCTTTGACCGAAACGAGGACAATAAGGATCGATGGATATAAAATTCAAAACTGTATAAAGGCTAAGTATTGTGGACAAAAACATGTTTGAATATTGTGGTTGGTAAAGGGTAGGAGGAGGTGAATTATTATCACATAACTTATTGGGAAGAATCATGGCATAACCATATAGGGAGACTTATAAATGCACCAAATTAAATATTATTTGAAATTTTAAATTAGGATAGACACGACATATAGATGACGTGTAAATTTAAACACGGTATATATTCTAGCCAAGTTAAGTATTTTTTTTATGCCTCTTTCAAGGTTAGTAAGAATAAGAGTGATACCATTTACATACGAACATGGTGCCAACCTAACAAGACTTAGAAATTATAAAAGTGGTATGAACTTATCTATAACTTAAGACGTTGCTTGTATTTGCATTTTTCGACACTATCAGTAATATTACTTATTGGGTTTTTTTGGGCAAGAACAAACTTTTTTTTTTTTTTTTTTAATGTTGTTTCAATAGTTTTTCTTTTAAATCATACTTAACGCTCCATGACAGAAACGGCAAAAGTTTTGTGATTGAAGCATTCCATGCTAAATTAATTGTCATTCTTTTGATAGCATTGTGAAAATCTGATATCTAAAGAGATACAAATATTGTGAATTCCGATAGCGTGAATGTACGCTAGTCGAAAACCAGGTTAAGGGGTACATGTGCAAACTTACTTGAGGTTCATGTGCACATATGTGGGCCGCGTAAAGAAATACTACACATTCAATTATGGTCAGACTGAAAATAGAGAACAAGATCATGTTATGATATTTTATGAAAGAATAGGTCACAACCATGATTACATGCGATTTCATTAGTGGTTATTTATTAAGTATTTCTTAAAATACTTGAGCCACGTGTCATTTTTACTTTTCAAGTAAAGATAACACACTTTTGCATTGATAAGGACATTGAGATAACAACTATGGTGGAGAACTGAACCAAGAATTCTTTGTCTTTATCATCAATCGAATCACTGTTCGAGACCCAGGATTCTATTTTATCATCAATCCAATCACCGTTCCCACGAAAAAACCATTGTTCAACTCTTTGACGATAACTCCAATGATCTAATTGTTGAATCAGTTGAGACTTATAATAATTTTTATAAGAAAAAAAATAAGTGTTTCTTAAAACATTGTTCTCTTCGTTCATGTATTGGATCTCATCAAAGGAAAATAACGCATTTAATAAATGATTGTTTTTACCAAAAATTCTTATAGAGTTTTGAAAGAAACACTGAATTCTCTTTCGAGTAGGCGCTGAAAGGAGAAGGAAGGCTGGAACGCCAAGGTTGAGATAGATGCATTCATGTTGTTTAGTTAGATCAAAATCAGTGTTAAAGTTATTTATTTGGACTCTATAATTCTAAACTTAAAACTAAACAACTTAATCAAAAGAACAAATTCAATCGAATTTGATGTTCTTTATTTTATAATTATTTTAATATTTAATGTATCAAATGCTATAAATATATTTCTTTTCCTTATATATATATAGTTATAATGTTGTAAATATTAATTTAAACATTTCTCGATAAATATACTATCATATAAATATAGAGTTGTACTCTTATGTACTATAAGATAAGTTGCATTTATTGATATAATTATTATAAGCAAATCGATCCATATAAATTAACTGGAAGCTATGATGTGTGAGACTTCTCTCTACCAACTGGGTGTCAATTCTCATTAGTTGAGATAAAGTTTTAAAGGATTTTTGCTTATGCAATATCATTATGTACATACTTGTCTGACCTCATTAGATACTCAGCATCTTCCAAAATATTACTTTTCAAAAAACAACAATAACGTATGAATCGTGTATCGAAACATTCACTAATCAAGTCGGTGAAATTTACTTACGCTAGGTCATGAGTTTAATTTGTATATATATATATATATATATATATATAATTTTTCTTTGTTATTTATGATAATTCCCTTTAATTGTTTTTCATATATGAGTTTCGGTTAAAATTAATTTCACGAACTTTTATAGTAACAATCTTTAAAAAAAAATCATGATAAATGATAAATTTTGATTCATATTTGATACTTGGTGTTCTTCATTTTTTGTAAATATAACAATTTTTATAACAATTTTTAAAATAATAGGGTTGATAAAAGTTCTCACCCATGAATCAAACCAAATTTTCAGTTCTTCGAAAACTCAAACCTTCCCAAGTCAAAAAAAAAAATTATAACCCATCAACTCTTAAGGTTTGAAATGGGTAGTTGTAGTTATTCGAATCATCAAATCATGTATACGCTACTATTTTCAACTCATGACGTTTGGTTCAATTATCAATTTCAAGAAAGAAAAAGAAACTAGACCAAACCAAACATTGTCTTGTTGAAGAATGTTAGGAGAGAGTCTAATGATCATGGTTTTATGAGTAAAGAATACATCTCCATCTCCATAGTTGTAAGGCCTTTTGAAGAACCTAAAAGTAAAATTGTACAATATCTTATCATTGTGAAAGCGAAATATAACATTTTTTTAATAGGAAGATTGGATGGAAGACCAAAGTCAATAGGCCCTGCCTCCCACAGCCTTCAAAACCCATACGCTCACGCTTTCCATTCCCATACTCCTTTTTTTCTCCAACTCATACATCATCGCCCATATCCCAAATTCCCATTCCCCAATTTCTCATCCGCCGCCGCATAGCCATCCCAAATGCCCCTTCAAGATTCCGCCGCCGGGAGCGGCTACCCGCTTCCCCACCCACCACCGCCGCCGAAGCCAGAGGCTAAACTCCTCTCTCTGCTTCTCAAGGTTACCGTCATGATCTTCTTTACCACCCTCTTCTTCGTCTTCCTCGGCCTCGCCACTGCCCTCCTCCTCTTCCACCTCTGCATCGCCAGCGCCCTCCATCGCCGCCGTGCCCAATACCCCGATTCCTCATCTGGGTTCTCCCGTCGTGACCTCAAAAAGCTCCTCCAGTTCCAATTCTCTAATGGGGTCAATCCCCATTCCCAAATTGATTGCTCTATTTGCCTCGATGGGTTTAGAAAGGGTCAGTGGTGTAGAAAACTTGGTGGGTGTGGCCATGTTTATCACCGGAAATGCATCGATTCGTGGTTAGTTAGGGTTTCTACTTGCCCCCTTTGCCGCCGCTGCGTTCGATTGGATATGGAAGAACATAAAATTAATTGTGTAAGCCCTCGCAACTATGAGATTTTTTATGCTCTGTAACCATAACTCTTGTTTAGTTTCTTCTTGTTTTGGCTCTTTTTCCCCCTTATAGATGTATATAAGGTTTTCTATTTGTTGGTTCTGATATTGCTCTGTTTTCTCTGTTTCTACGATGCTTTTGCTTTTGGTTCTTGTTTTTGTTCATTACTTTTGAGATTCCTTTTTGAATTAATCATATTCAAACCTCTTAAAGATACAATGAATTAATTGGACTTTTATTCTTTACTTGTGAGCTGAAATTTTTGTGGAGAACAGAGGTTCTAACTTTTGACGAAAGATATAGAGTTGAAATGTTGATTGAATTGTGATTGGAAGAAAACTTTTGTTCAAAACTTAGAATTGGTCCCAAAACTAAATTGCGTGGAAAAGTGGTGTGGTGTGAGTATTGGTCATCAAGTTTGAATATTGACTTGTTCTAGTTATGATACCCATTTATATAGAGTTTACCACCTTGGGGACCTGTCCAAAATCAACCCCAAAATGGCCTAACATTAAGAATGAGGGCGGCTTTGAGATGTCTTTTGAAAAGTATTTATAATATTCGTTAAATTATGTCACGTGTATCTCTTAATTTTAATACATCTTATTAAAGTTATTTACATGTTATTTTTCTCTTATAAGATTATCTCAATCATTGGTTTCACATGACTTGCACGCACGTACCTATTATACGAGACCATTTATTACTAGAGATGAGTGGATGACTCTCTAACCGTCTCCATATAATTATAATCGTGTGAGAGTGACTCTGGTTCTTTTGAACTGTCTTAAAATTATGTGGATTGTGGACTCTTGTTCCTCAGCGGATAGATGGAGATGCTCTAACAATCTCTACATAATAACCTATTGCTCCTGTATATCAAATGTATCTAAGGCACGACCGTATATCATTAAGCTCATTTAGTACTCATGTGGACCATGTCTATTGAGACAATTTCACTATTAAAGATTGACATACGATCCTTTAATAGTCCTCAAGTTGTATAATCCCTTTGTGCCTCTACCATGAGGACCCTTATCACTCGAAACAAGTTCAGTATCAAAGATTAGTTAACTACTACAACGAGGCCTAAGATTAGTTAACTACTACAACGAGGCCTATATACATGAGCCACAACCCTAAACATCTTATCATGCTTCCAATTCCAAATAAATGGAAAATTTTGGCACAATGAAAATTAAAATATTTAATATTTAATATTTAATAACTTATCTAAAAAGAATTACCTTTTGAATATTTCTATGTCATTCTTTTTAGATATTTTATTTTTCTATAAAAAAAAATTCTTAACTCTTTTTAACGCTTTTTCCAAAGAATTTAGACTATAATTTCATAAAGTAATATTTGATTTTGAATTACTTGTTTCAATTAAATATTAATAAAAGTGTAACATTTTCATTATTTTTATTTTAAAAAATTATATTAGTGAAATTTTTTAAATTAATACGACCCTTAAATTTAGAGTTCAATTTGTCACCTTTAGTTTTAGACTCAAATCGACATTGACTAACAAATCAACATTGACTAACGATATGTTGATTTTTGACCGTCTACAAGAATTTTAGATGTTGGCAATGTTGTTTTTTTTTTCTATCAATTTAAGCAAGCTCGTTGGAATAAATAGAATTGTCAACTATTTGTATTAATTACCGAAAAAGTCAATATCTTGTTGACATATGTACGAGAGAATAATTTTGAATTAGAGATATTCATTTCACCTGTGAAGAGGTGGGGTGGGAGAGAGATTTATTGATTCCATTCGCTCGCTCTCGATCCTCTGCCCAACTTTTTATATATATATAAATAAATAAAGGGTGAAAAATTACATTATTAATTAATTAAAGTTTATTAACATAAACATTCTATTATATTTTTTATTATAAAATGTTAGTAAATTTATTATGCTGTTTTAAAGTTTGTAACAGACCTCAGGTAAGAAAATGAAAATTATTCATGAAAATTTTTGAAAAAATATTAAAATTAGTTTTTTATTTTGTTTATATTAAATCTAATCCCCACGAAAATAATTAAAAAAATTTATTAGTAGTCTAAGTTCACCACTAGTAGATATTGTCTGTTTTGACTTGTTGTGTATTACCGTCAACCTCACAGTTTTAAAATGCAACTACTGGAGACAAGTTTTCACACATTTGTAGATAATCTTTTCGTTCTCTCTACCCAATGTGAATATCTCACTAATATCAGTTAGATGTCACGGCCATGCTCGTCCAAAGCATGTTGCCCGTAACATCTTGCCCATGGCCGCATGCCGAGGACACAAGACTCATCTCTACCTCCTCGATCCTCTCATCCAATTCCTTCAAAACGCCTCCATCCCAATCTACATATATTAAAAATTCCCTCAAGTTGCGTATTAAGTTATTGGAAGAATTTTAATAAACCAAGTAAACCAAGTTAGGTGGGATGCACGTATTTTTAAATATACCAAATAATGTATCAATTTGTTTATTTTTTAATAAATTTGATAAAAATTTTGAAATTTTCGACTTCCATCCATGCAATTTATTTATCCGTCTAAGGTGAATCTTTGCAAAATAATTAAATAAACATCTTCGAAGATATAGAAACTAATATGACACTTCAATGTAACTTATAAGAAACGTTTTACTACGTTGGGTTGGTCAACATTTTGACCGACATCGAAAACTTATTTTAAAATTTTTCACAAAAAATAAATTCAAAATTAATATTTACAAAATAAAACTAAGTATGGGAATCAATTTTACTTTATTATATTATTTCAAACCAACTAAAAGTCAACGGATTTTGTTAGGTGAAAGTGTACGATATTATTCTATTATATTGATTTCCAATTCTTGATTTCTAAATGTATTAGCATATTTATTTTTATAACAAAATAAATCTCACCAAACATATTATATGAAATTTAATCCAATCAAATTATTAATTAATGTATTTTATTTTTATAACTTTACACGCTAACTATCACGAACATATTTCAACCGAATGTTTTTTGCTTTTTATTTTTTTAATAAAAATATTATCGATGATATAATCTAATCCTTCGTAGTCTTGTTTAAAAATTCAAATATTTGACCGTTTAATTTCGTGGTCTCGTTTTCTTGTCACATTTTGTTAAATTTTCAATGTTGCATTGAAAATGTCGAATCATATATCGATACTGTTTAAATTATAACCTTAGATGATCGTATACAGACGTCAATTAATTTTTTTTACAAACAATGACGTAATTTCCGTTGAATTTAGTACACTAACTAGTTTAGGTCTACATTTTCGGGAATTCAATTACAAGTTTAAAACTATAATTTTGAAGTTGGATAAAATTTGAACCTAAAGATATTTGATCAAAATTAGAATCAACCCCTTCTTATTAATCAAAATTTTGTATATTTTAATTATCATTAAACTAAATACGACTAATATCCACGTGACAACAATAAACGATTTCATTGGAAAACTTGTCGTTTAGGATTTGTATTTAGGAGAGCGCCACGACGACGTTTTGTAGTCCTACGTGGCGCATATGATTGCCTATTGGACAAACGTGGCCTCTGCACCTTTCATTTTCTCACCAACCACGGATTTTTGGACAATTTCATTTATTTGTATAATTTATTTCATTATCAAATATTTTCACATGATTGACCTAAACTTATTCTTATTATTATAGGTTCATATTTTTCTTTTTTAATTTTCTCGTCCTTGTAGCACAAGTCATCAACATTTTGGAGTTGCATTACTCTAAAGATTATTGGTCGTTGTCTCCCGATTGTTTTGGGTAGCTTTCCTGGTTCAATACGGAATGAGTAATTTCATAGAAACAATTGTCTCCTTGTTTAATGGCGTTTCAAGACAACTGTGAAAATTGACAAAGTTAGCTAGATGAAAACGAGAAAGAAAAGGGAGAGCCACAATTAAGGGTGTTAAAAAAAACCAAACTTGTACTTAACCCGGTTCTCTAAAACTAGATGGGATCGAACCAAACCATATGAGGTTTTAAAATAATTTTTTTTTTTTAGGTATTTGAAAAGGAGAATAAAAATGTATAAAATTATGGTCGAACTCCATTTCATCAACTCCACCGGTATCACCACCTACTCCATATATTACTTGGCACCAAAAGCGTTGCTCACAAAAACTAAAGCAAATTTCAAAAACCCCATCAAACCAAATTCTCTCATCCTCCTAATTTTCTCGCCATCCAAACACCCAAAACAGATGGATTCTCAACTTACCAACGCCCAGGATTTCATCTTCCGATCAAAGCTCCCCGACATCTACATCCCAAACCACCTCCCCCTCCACACCTACTGCTTCGAACACCTCTCCCAATTCCACCACCGCCCCTGCCTAATCAACGCCGCCACCGGGCAAATCCACACCTACGCCGCCGTCGACCTAGCCTCCAGACGCGTCGCCACTGGTCTAAGCAAGATCGGCGTCGGACAAGGCGATGTCATAATGCTTCTACTACAGAACAGCCCTGAATTCGTCTTCGCCTTCCTTGGCGCGTCCTATGCCGGCGCCATTAGCACCACCGCAAACCCATTATACAAGCCGGCGGAGATCAAGAAACAGGCGGCCACGGCGAGGCCGAAGGTTATAATTACGCAGGCGGAATTTGTGGAGAAAGTTCGGGAATTTGCAATGGAAAATGGGGTGAAAATTATATGTACGGATTCCCCTCCGGTGGGTTGCCTGAGATTCTCCGAGATTTTAGAGGCCGATGAAAATGAAATTCCGGCCGTGAAAATTAACTCCAACGACGTTGTTGCTCTTCCCTTCTCGTCTGGAACCACCGGAGTTCCTAAAGGCGTTATGCTCACACACAAATCTCTCGTTACAAGCATCGCTCAACAGGTCAGTAAAAACCGTTAGAAATTACTACTCTCTATAATGACATAATATTATTCACCATTGAATTTGCTTTGGACTTTTTTAAAAGGGTTCAAGTCAATATTGACATATTTCTTACTTATAATTATTTTCTAAATTAACCCTCTTCAACAAAACTGTCTCCTAGCCGGTGGTGACCGGTCACCGGTCACCGCTTTCCACCGCCGGAAAATTTAAAAATTCAAATATTTGACCGTTTAATTTTGCAGGTGGATGGAGAGAATCCAAATGTGGACTTAAACAGCAACGACGTGCTCATATGTCTTCTCCCATTATTCCATATCTACTCTCTCAATTCCGTTCTCCTCTGCGGACTACGTGTCGGCGCCGCCATTCTCATCCTCCAAAAATACGACATGTCGACTCTTCTCCGCCTCATTCAGACCCACAAAGCCACTATAGCCCCCTTCGTCCCTCCGATCGTCTTGGACTTCGCCAAAAACCCCGACATCCACCGTTACGACTTGTCGTCCATCAGAATCGTCATGTCGGGTGCTGCCCCCATGGGCAAGGCCCTGGAAGACACTGTCAAGGCCAGACTCCCCAACGCCACGCTTGGACAGGTAATTCTTGAATTTTCTTTTATTTTAATTTACAATTGTACACACAAAATATAAAATAAAAAACAATTCTTCAATTTGTTTTTTGAAAATATTTTAAAAAAACATTATAAAATTATTTTAAATATATAGTATTACCATTATTGTTGGAGTTTGATTAATATTAAAGTCAATATATATTTACAAAATATTTACAAATAAAAAATGCAAGAAATATAAAAATAATTTGACATTGTGAACACATTTGTGAACCCAAAGAACAATTCAAACGATACCATTTATATTCGATCATGATTTATGGTATTTTTTTTATAAAGTGGGATATTAATTAATTTTTTTTTCTACTTAGACTTGGCTCAAGTCAAATTTTCTTAATAGTTTTTGGTTAAATTATTATTATTATTTTATTCTTTATAGTTTTAATAAATCTTAGAGTATATTGATGGCTTATTAATAATTTCTATTCTCCGAGTTAGTTTAATTCGACTTGCATAGTCTATAAACTTTTAATTATTTTATTTTAAATTAATTTTCCATAAAAATTATTTGAATTCAACTTTTAAATTTTTAAATATTAACCATTGTTTGATTATTTACTTAAGAATAACAAGGTTTAAATTAAAAAAAAATGTTCATAAAGATGTGAAAGAAAAACTATGAATGCTATAATATGGGACATTAATTAAACTTCAAATTATGCCTAATTTGATATTATTGAAATTCCAATAAAATTAAAAAAAAAAAAAGCATAAAATTTAAATGTTATAAAGAAAGTTTAATTTTATATTTATTTTTCTTTTCCAAGACAAGAGGAACATAATAATTAAAATAAAAAATAAGCATAAAATTTTATATACATTATTAAAAATATAATATTTAATGTAATTAAAAAAAGAAAAATTGAATGTGCAGGGATATGGGATGACGGAGGCCGGTCCGGTTCTGTCGATGTGTCTGGGTTTTGCAAAGGAGCCGTTCGAGTTTAAATCAGGTGCGTGCGGGACCGTCGTAAGGAACGCTGAGATGAAGATCATACACCCTGAAACTGGTGTATCTTTGCCACGTAATCACCCTGGTGAGATCTGCATACGTGGCTCCCAGATCATGAAAGGCAAGTCCCACATTCCATCCCCATTCTATACTTTCTTTAGCTTTATAAATTATTTTATTTTAACGTCGGTGCGACACGACACGACTAATAATAAATGGAAGCCCTGATGGGTGTTCGTAAAATTTAATTCAATTGTAAATTTTTTTAACCCGAACCATCCTACAATTTTTTAGTTGCTTTAGTTCGGGTTACTTTTAATAAAAATAAAATATTAGTTTGTAAATTATTTATTTAATTTTAAATATTACAATTTAAAAATATATTTTGAAACATTGGAATGACTAAAGTTTTGATTGAAAATATATTTAGATTGGGTTGGTAGTCCATACTTAGTAGTTGTAATAAATGGAAGATAATTAATTCTCAAATAAATGTGTGACAGAAAATAATAAATGCCTCTATTTATTGAGGTCAGATGTATGCCTAATTATGATCCATAAAATTTTGGAATAGTTAGTTTTTGTAAAAGAAAATAATAAATAAAGTGTTGAATTAATATAATAATGTGAACAAAATTAAATAATTAATTATTCTTAAGTAAGAAGAAAACATATAATTTATAAGGGGCTAAATTAGAAGCTTAATCCTAAGCCAGGTTACCTTAATAACAAAGAAGCCACAGAGAAGACCATAGACAAGAATGGGTGGCTCCACACTGGAGACTTAGGGTTCATCGACGACGACGACGAGATCTTCATCGTCGATCGACTCAAGGAACTGATCAAATACAAAGGATATCAAGTGGCCCCAGCTGAGCTTGAAGCTCTCTTGACTTCAAACCCTAATGTTTCTTCTGCTGCTGTGGTGCCGTAAGTTTCCACATGAACATTCTCATCATTTTGGCCTCTTATTATTATTATTATTATGATTATGATTAAGGAAACCAATTGGGTTGATGTTCATAGAATGGAAGATGAAGCAGCTGGAGAGATCCCGGCTGCATTTGTTGTTAGATCTAAAGGCTCCAAGATTAGTGAGGATGATATCAAGAAGTATATTTCTGATCAGGTTAGTGTTTTTATTTTTTATATTTTTTCGGTTGGTGAGATCTCAGACGCTCATAGATCTTCCTTTTAACGCAAATTCGTAGTATAGTTTCACGCTCTTATAAAGAAAGTTGTGTTATCCTCCCAATCGATGTGGGATTTCACAATGTCTTGTTAGTGGTGGGCTTGGGTCACTCATTCCCTTCTCCAATCCACCCCTTTTGGGGGCCAGCGTCCTTGCTGGCACACCGCTCCATGTTCACCCCCTTCAAGGGTTAGCCTCCTCGCTAGCACATTGCCCGATGTTTGGCTTTGATATCATTTATAACGACCTAAGCCCACCGGTAGGAGATATTCTTCTCTTTGAGCTTCCCCTTTTGGGCTTCCGTTTAAGATTTTTAAAACGTGTCTGTTAAGAATAGGTTTTCACATTCTTCTAAAGAAAGCTTAGTTCTCCTTCCCAACGCATGTGGGATCTCACAATCTATCTCTCTTCCGGGTCAAGCATCCTCGCTGGCATTTATTCCCTTTTCCAACCGATGTGCGACCCTCCAATCCACCTCCTTTCAGGGCCCAGCGTCCTTACTGGCTCATCGCTTCGTGTTCACCCCCCTTCAAGGCTTAGCCTCCTCGCTAGCACATCACTCGATGTTTGGCTTTGATATCATTTATAACGACCCAAACACATCGGTAGGAGATATTATCCTCTTTGGGCCTTCCCTCAAAGTTTTTAAAACAGCTAAATTTGTTAAGGAGAGGTTTCCACACTTTTATAAAAAAATATTTAGTTTTCCTCCCCAACCAATATGGGATCTCACCGGTAAACGGGAACCGGATTGTCTCACGAAGTTCTAAACCCAACCAACATCTTTATCAACCGTTTTAGTTAGCCAAATCATGAATCACCGTGGTTGGAGCCATGGTCGAAAAAGCTTTTTGGTTGTAAAGTTATAGCACTGAATGTTGGGTGGTTGTTATGGTTGCAGGTTATATATTACAAGAAAATCAGGAAGGTTTTCTTTGTGGACTCAATTCCAGTTGCTCCTTCAGGCAAGATCTTGAGGAAAGTGTTAAAAGCCCAATTGGAGAATGGTGCCTTTTAAATTAGGGTTGGTCACTCCACCAATGGACTTATAAACTTTACAATATCCACATAACTTTGGGTTTCTCTCTCAAAAACAAATGTATTGAAGAGAGAAAGAGGATGATTCTAAATTAAGAAGATGGGTTTCTTAATTTGTTGTGAATAACATGTAATTTATATCCACTTTCTTACTTTATTATAAGTCTTTCATTAAGTTGCAATCGAAATGTTTATGGATATATGATCCGGGTTGAAATTGTGAGCGCTACACAAAATGTCTATTTTCTCATTCATAAAATCTTTTTTATAGTTAGTATACAGATAGAAGCGATTTGTGACGACTTAAGCTCACCGCTATCAGATATTATTCGCTTTGTTTTTTCCTTCTCGAGTTTTCCCTAAAACACGTCTAATAGGAAGAAATTTCTACACGCTTCCATCGGAGTTCATCCAAACATTATCTAAGTGAATTATATATAATAAGTTTGTGCTACATATAAAAATAAAAAGAAAAAGAAAAGTAGATATTAAAAAGCAGGATCAAAAGAGGGCCAAAGTTATGGTGAATTATTTTTGGACTAAAACTTTAGGTGCACGCTGCACTATCTTGTTGCAGCCTAGCTGCGTTTTAGTGAATTATTTTTTTCAATAAATTATATCAATTTTTGTTCTATTATTGTCAAAAAGTCACAATAATTATTCTAATTTGGTGCGGCCCAGCTTGTTCTTAAAATAAAAGTATAATATTTGTTTATTTATTTTTAAATGTTTAATTAAATTTTGTTTTTATAAGAATTTATGTGTTACAATTATAATATTTTTTATTTTTGAAATTGTTAAAGATTTATGGGTTAAAAGTTATATATATATATATATATATATTTGCTTATGAAATATATTGATTGGTAGTGAATTCTCTAATCCCATCTTCGTACAAATAAGCTGAGAATTTTGTCGGAGGAATGCTTTCTCATCTAAGCCTCCCTCGATAGACATATAATCCAGTTGAGTTGGGTTGATAAAATCTAACGATAATCAACAACTTCACTCTAAATTAAAAAAAAAAAAAAAAATTAGAGATTTGAATCTGATTGGTAATTTGAGGGAAGAAGACGGTTTAATAAACTCATATCTTATTCTCAATTTAAATAAAACAAGTTCTTCATAGTTATACACCCGTACTAACAATAAGGTTATGTAAGTCGAACCGGGCGCACACGTAGACATTACAATACGCTAACTAACCTAAACTTGTAGACACAAGTACACAAATGTTGGAAGGTTAAGAGAAAAGGAGAAGAATTCAGTAGTTGGATTTGAGGTGCAGGAAATGGTTTGGTGAATAATGCTTAAACAAGTTGAAAGCAGAGAGGAAGGAGATGAGAAGCATTGTAAGGAAAGCTGCATAGCCACAAAGGAAAGCTCCGGCAGCTTGGTAGCAAAATCTGTGGAATCTGTTGCATAGCTTCATCCACTGGAACTCCTGGTTGCCCCTCACCGCCACAAACGCCGCCTCTATCCCCGCCGTGTTTGCCGCAAATGTTAGGTAAGCACCCGCCTGCCGATGTCAGTTCAAACTACTTCAATTCCAATCTAAATTTTTAAACCAACTTTTCTAATTATTTATATATATATATGTAAGAAAAAAAGAAAAAGGAAAATAGTTTGGGGGCATAATTGGACATATCATATGATATTATTTATGTGAAATATATATATTTTTGTAAAAAGTGATCATTTTATCCTTATTTGCAAAACTTTAATATAATTTCATAACCCAAAATAAATTTAAGCCTACCTTTGAATTATGATAAAAGAAATAAAATGAAAGTGAAAAGACCAAAATAGACCTTTAAAAAATATAAGAATTAAAATGGAGGACCAAAATTAGACAAAAATTGAAAATACAAGGTCCAAAATAGTATTATTTACTATTTATTTGAATTTTAAAAATTAAGGTTATAAAATGTGAGATTCCTCTCCTAGAAGGAAACATTGTTTAAATATATTTTTATATGGGTATGAAAACTTCCCTTAGACACCCTTTAAAAACTTTGAGCAAAAGTTCGAAAAAGACAATATGATATGTTATCGAATTGTTTACCTGATCGATGAGGAAGGAAAGCCAAAATAGGGGTAAGTGAAAGTGAGTTTGTAATTGGAAGGGTGGTTTTGGGTGAGCTGAAATCCAACATTTGGAGAGTTGAAGAATGTTGTAGGCAGCTGCGATGGAGTCCACATACATAATCACTCTGTAAAGTTACACCCAAATTCAAAACACAAACAAACAAACAAACAAACAAAGCTTGATGATTTAAAGGGCTTACTTGAGAGCACCCAAACTTTTGAAAGAGGCTGTCTTGTCCGCTCCAAAGATCTGTGTGGTTTCCTTGTCAAAACCCATCAAGAAAACTGTGAAAACCAAGCAAATCATGGCACACAATCTGAGTATCCCTTCAGTTCTTGCATCCCCAAACCCCATTACTGCCACTTGTTGTTCAGAATATTGAGAGGGCAGTCGGGTGGTGCCTTTATTTATGATATCTGGTTGGGCACAGCACGTACACCACTTATTCAAAAGGAAGGGGAACTATTCCATCTCTTCACCATCCTTCACCCAACTTCCTATGCTATTTATTAACCCTACACTTTGCTTTCCATACTTAATTTTCTACTCCTCTACCTAATTTTTTTTTTTTTTTTATATGAAATAGAGAGGCTACATCGTCATGTGATGGCCTTCACAGTAACATTGTCATATGTACAGAGATGCAACTACCCTATCTTCTGTTCTATGACCTTCACAACAACATCATCATATGTACAGAGATGTCTTACCTTTACATGAGTAGTATATGACTTGAGTATTTAAAAGTACTATGTAACCCCACTGCTGGGATTAGGAAATGCAATCACATGCAATCATGTTTGGAACCTAATCTTTCATAAAATATCGTGACATGACCATGGTCTCTACTTTAGTCCGGGAAAAATTAGATGTGTAGTACTTTTCTACACACGGCGCATGTACGCGCATATGGACTCCTAGGTGAGCTCGTATACGTACCCCCTAAACCTGACTTTCAACAACGTACACTTTCACTGCTGGAATGTATTAGGATGTACATAATATTGTAACATAACATCATAATGTATGCGTGCGTACTAATCATAGCGGGGAAGTATACAATATGCATGAGGTCCCTATAGTTTCAAATCATGACATGTATCCGTGATACAAGTTATACCTTTGTTCATTTCATACCTAACTTAATCCTTTTGTGTCATCTCATATTAACCCTAAAACCATCTATATTTTCAAAATTTTAAATGGTAGATTTAGTTATCCGTTCCATTTAATCTTTGAATACTTTCTAGTATGGATAATGATTTGTGGTCTTTGTTATCATTAATATTATTAGGGAAATGGTGTGACATGTTTTTAACTAACTTTTTGTTAAGTTGGTGTGAAATTTGTAGAAACTTAGATAGTAAGACATATAATATAGTTTATGTTATATAAAAAAAGAATGGTTAAATTTATAAATTAATTAAAATATATTTGAAACACATTTTGTTAAAAAAATATTTACCTTGTTTTATTTTTTTGATTCATAAATATTTTATTAAGCATTGAAAGGAAATATTAATCACACTAGAACATTCATATTCATGGATGATTGCTTTCAACACATTTAATAATGCAAACATCTACCTATCTCATAAATGAATGATATAATTTTTTTGGTTAAATGATTTTAAAAGGGAATGAATTAAATAATCCTTTATACATTTTGGTTTTGGTTGAGAGTTCATGTGGAAATAAATACAACCAAGTCAATAATTTTCACTACCACCATTTTTTTCAACATTTGTGCTAACAGGTCCAATTTGATGATTTAAGATAGGTTATGGTATTTAAATATTGCACAGGTTAGATATTATTTGGCAAAAATTTTTAACCTACAAATTTAACCACAATTTTTCGTTGAAATTAGTTTATTCTTCTATAAGGCTCTCGCTAGCCAATGACATGACACTACTATGTTAAGTGATTATCAAAGAAAAACGACATCCAAATAACTTGATGAATTTCGGTAATTTGCACTATGTGAGGAGGTAGAGAACACCAAACGTGATGAATTTGATAGAAACAATTTGAAGGTTGGAATGATCGATAAAGACACGAACGATGAAATACGGGACGACAATCATTATCGTGAAGGATAGTTGAAGCTTAAACGTTACATCAGTCGTGAAGGGTTAATTTCATTCTAATTTCACCATTAATTACTAAGATTTTGGGTTTAACCGTGATTTAACGGGTTCAATTTCTTACCTCTAATTTAGGGTCGTAGAACTTATGTCTATGAATAAAAGGGTAAATAATGGTAAGGAAAAGGAAAATAAATTTTGAGATTGATACTACATCCATATTGTGGGCTATCTACAATAGACATTGATAGCAATTTGGTGAGCAAACCATGTTAAGGATTGAAACCCCATTAACACACCATATGCAATTTGGGGACCAAATATGTAAAGTTTAATTAAAAATGAAAATGGGTATTCCATTATTGCTGCTTTGTAGCAGAGGTTTAAGCAGGCTAGACAAGACAACACAAGGCATTGCATAATAGTAAGGCTTTGCATTCAATCATTTCACTACTACTATTGCACTATTATGTATTTAGGGTTTATGAGTCACAAGCCTCTCCCTTAACTCAATTCATTTGATTGCTTTAAATTATTGAATTAAACTATTAATATTACCCGCTTGTCAACTACTTGTCAACTACTTTTCACTCTCTATTGTAACAGTTCAAGTTCGACACTAGTAGATATTGTTCGCTTTAGTTCATTATGTATTGTTGTTAGCTTCACAATTTTAAAGCACATCTGCTAGTAACAAGTTTCTACACCCTTATAAAAAAATGTTTGGTTCCTCTCTCCAACCAATGTGGGATCTCACAACTACTTTCTAAGAGGATGGAGCACGTAGATCTAACTTAATTAGGGTATGAATTAGGCCTTTGGTTTATTATTCTCTTATATTTCTTTATTATATATTATCTCTATCACATAAAATAGAAGGTATGTGTGACACCTGAGTAAAAAAGTGGTACATAAATTAATCGATACCACAACCAAATGAGAATAAACTTAAGAATAAGATGACTCAGAAATG